CTGACAGCACAGCTACAAGGCAGACTTTCATTCCACTGAAGCCAACAGCAGATTTTCCAGAGCCGTCTTGGAGGAAGTGAAAGTACCACTCTGAGTTTTCGCTGAGCGGATGATTTTCCTCCATGTCTAAACAAAGACAGACACCGGGGAAGTGATGAGAGAGAACGTGCTCCAGGCGAAACTTTCTTTACTCTGGTCCTTTTAGTCCTCCGTGACTGGAGGGAAACAAACAAACACTCGCTCCACTGATGAATTTTGAAAATAAATAAAATGTTCAGGACGTGTTTTGAAAAATTCTATTTCATTAAACATGAACATCTAATATTCTTGTATTTCTTTACATGAAAACAGAGGGGAAAACCACAGACTTATCGTTATCATTCTATTGTACTGGTCACAGCTGTGTTGGTTCTATGTGGACTGAACCAAAGTGAGTTTGACACCCCTGGTCCACATGGTTCAGCCCACTTCACAGTTGTCCCGTCTTCTACTGCGATGTCTAATGTGTCTGGGGATAAAGTTTAAAAAAGTAGTGATGTGGGTCAACTAGTAGTTCTCTCCACTAATGACTAATGACTAATGACTCCCCCCGGTGGTTTCTACCGGGGCTTGATCCAGACTGGGGTCATAAACACCTATCAGTCGCCTGGTTCCTTTTTCCAGACACTTGGATCAAATGAAAGAAATGATGAAGAAAGGAGACAAGAGGACACTGAGGGTCTTGTTTCCTGCCCACCAGCCTGAGCTGGGGGGGGAGGGGTGTGGGAATGCTGAGGGCAGCAGTGAAGGTCTCAGTGGGGGCCGACAGCATCCTTGGCAGGGAGCAAGCAAGGAGGGTTGTGGGAAATTAGAGTGAGTGGGTAACCATCTCATCCAGTGGGACGTTTGTCAGACCGACAGACGGACACAGGAAACTTCAGGGTTACTGTATATATATATATATATACATACAAATATATACACACATATATATAAATATGTGTGTGTGTGTATATATATATATATATATATATATATAAAATGTGAACGTGTGATTATAAATGTCTATTCCAAGTCACGAGTCTGCAACTATCGCAAGATTTTCCTCCTGATACCAGGAAACATCCCGTTACCAGTGGCTCAACCCAGCTCCATTTTTCCACTCAACACTGTGTGGCGCTGTCTCCCTCTCTTTTCTCGTTTCCTTAATTATTACTATTTTATGTTATCAATATATTTGTTTATATCTATGTTTTTTATGTTTCAATGGGGATTAATTTAATTAATTAATAGTATATTTCTGGGTCTGGAATAAATTAATTTCCAATTTATTTTTAAATGGGGAAAATTCAAAATATAGATGGAGAGAGACATATATATAGGTCTACATATATAAACATATATGTATATACATGTAAATATATATACATACATTTATAAATATATATATGTAGTCGTTTTTTCTGAAGTTAACACTTGAACCCCTTCAGATCAGATTAGTCGTTTGATTAGTCGATTAGTTGATTAGTCGTTTGATTAGTCGTTTGATTAGTCGTTTAGTCCAATCGTTCCTGGAACTCGTTGGTGGTTTGTGAAAATATCTTCAAGAGAATTCTGTGATACGTCAGAGCCATACAGAGTTCAAAGGGAGGGCATGGTTGTGTGTCGAGTACACAAAACGAATACCTTAGAATACCTGAGCTGACTGTGTATCCAGGGTGGAGTACTCAAAAGTACTACAGGGCTATAATATGTGACATCAACAGCTGTAAATCACATATTTGACTACTGTGATATAATACTCAGGTACTATACTGTACTTGGGGTATTATCAGGACATCCATTCAACACACTCATGTAAGCACAGCCTCATTAAATACCCCGTCCTGCCCGCGGCCCATAAGGGCCACCGGGCAGCTGTAACTCTCAGCCCAGAGTGGTGTCTGTCCGAAGTAAAGAAGTCTCTAAAAGTGACACAAAGACCTCAATCCCTGCTGCTTTTAAGCACAGGCTGTAAAATCAGATGACTTTATTGCCACTTTACTCACCCTAATGATACAGAACTATTTAACATGGGGTAAAAAAAAAAATCCTCCTCAGCAGAAAGTTGCTGCGGTTGGCAAGGGCAGAATCCCCGGCTGCCGTTGCTTTTACACGGAAAAATAAAGCCTTAAAGATCTTTTTAATATTTGGGTTGCTAAGTGCTCCTGACTGTGGAACGCTCTGACCCCGTGACCTGCCTGCTGCCAATCGCTGTGGGCCTGTGTCGACTGCAGTGGACAAGCCATTCATGAAGCTTGTAGTGTTTTACATGCTCATTAAATCAGGCTTAAACTCTGCCTGTATGGACATGACGGCTTTAGATCATTAGTCGGGGGTGGCAGGGGGGCGGGGCTAACTGCAAGGTCACTTTGGGTGTTGTGTACAATCTGATTAATGCCCCGCATTTATAGCTAGCTGCTAGCTAAAAAGATGTTGGTCTTTGACAATAGAGAGAGCGACAGAGAGAGAGAGAGAGAGAGAGCATTTGAATGGCTCAGGTGTTTTTGTAAAATTAAAGATATTAACTTCTGAGGATCAAACAGTGGACAACTTCAAAGTCCTGTAGAAATCTGGACTTCTGGGAATTTCTGGCCTGACTACTCCCTATGGAAGTCCTACGCTCGTCCTCTCTCTGCTTCTTTATTTTATATTAATATATTGATTATATTCCATCGTCCACCGTCCAATCACCTCTGCTCCAATCAACAAATACACACATTGTTATTTACACAGACTGTGGGGAAACTAGTTCTAGTTCCACTGAATCTCCTGGATCCTAACATCCCATCATCAACTCCCAGCCATGTGCCTGTGGGTGCTCCAACCTCAGGCACGCGGCCCCGGCTTGTGTCAGAGCAGAATGACTGAGATCAGGACAGCCAGTCAGTCTACGACTGACAGTCTGACTGACACCACAGTTTGACTGACACCACAGTCAGTTGGATTGTCCAGGACTGTAGACTGATGACTGTTGTTGAGGACAACAACTGGACTGAGGTCTGGACAGAACCAGGTTCTACAGGTAAAAATCCTCCTCAGCAGAAAGTTGCTGCGGTTGGCTAGGGCAGAATCCCCGGCTGCCGTTGCTTTTACACGGAAAAATAAAGCCTTAAAGATCTTTTTAATATTTGGGTTGCTAAGTGCTCCTGACTGTGGAACGCTCTGACCCCGTGACCTGCCTGCTGCCAATCGCTGTGGGCCTGTGTCGACTGCAGTGGAGAAGCCATTCATGAAGCTTGTAGTGTTTTACATGCTCATTAAATCAGGCTTAAACTCTGCCTGTATGGACATGACGGCTTTAGATCATTAGTCGGGGGTGGCAGGGGGGCGGGGCTAACTGCAAGGTCACTTTGGGTGTTGTGTACAATCTGATTAATGCCCCGCATTTATAGCTAGCTGCTAGCTAAAAAGATGTTGGTCTTTGACAATAGAGAGAGCGACAGAGAGAGAGAGAGAGAGAGAGCATTTGAATGGCTCAGGTGTTTTTGTAAAATTAAAGATATTAACTTCTGAGGATCAAACAGTGGACAACTTCAAAGTCCTGTAGAAATCTGGACTTCTGGGAATTTCTGGCCTGACTACTCCCTATGGAAGTCCTACGCTCGTCCTCTCTCTGCTTCTTTATTTTATATTAATATATTGATTATATTCCATCGTCCACCGTCCAATCACCTCTGCTCCAATCAACAAATACACACATTGTTATTTACACAGACTGTGGGGAAACTAGTTCTAGTTCCACTGAATCTCCTGGATCCTAACATCCCATCATCAACTCCCAGCCATGTGCCTGTGGGTGCTCCAACCTCAGGCACGCGGCCCCGGCTTGTGTCAGAGCAGAATGACTGAGATCAGGACAGCCAGTCAGTCTACGACTGACAGTCTGACTGACACCACAGTTTGACTGACACCACAGTCAGTTGGATTGTCCAGGACTGTAGACTGATGACTGTTGTTGAGGACAACAACTGGACTGAGGTCTGGACAGAACCAGGTTCTACAGGTTCTACAGGTTCTACCAGACCTGGTCCAGATGAACAGTCAGGACTGAAAGACACCGACTCTGTGAAGAGACACTTTCACTCTGACTGGTGGACATTTTTATGGACATTTGTCCACATTAATAATCCCATCATTCTGTCACAGATGACAACAGGTGAGAAACACTGACCTCTAGCTGCTGGTGTCTGAACCAGAAATATACAGAAAAATGTCAATTCTTTAAAATTGACTTTTATATAAAAATGGTTAATTATGATTAATTGTGATTAATTGTGACACAGCTACAAGATCGTTGGACAGTTCCTGTTTAAACATGACACTTACGTATGTGTAATATTTTTTAAAATACTTCATTAAACTGCCGTGGTTGTTGTTAACGATCGTTATCATCGTCTGACTTTGGTGGCAAATAATTACTGGTTAGAGAGAGAAGGTTAGCCGTTCCACTTCTGTTTGACAAAGTCTACGATAAAAACGAAATTCTAAATATATTTGAACAACTTTGTGCCGTATGAAGTACTGTGAATGTAGACCAAAGTATTTTACTGCCAAAACCAGAAGCAGGGTACTAGTAATTCATGTACCATAATATTAAAAGGAAAAACTATAATTTACTAAAAGAATGTGACGTAATGTTCCTCCACTACACCCCCCTCCCCCACGTTGACCCCCGCCCCCAAAGTTTCATTATTTTTAATTGTCTTCACATATTTGACGTCTTCTTTTCTTCCTGTTTAACAAGTACAGTGAAAATACCCAGGTTGCAGTACTAGTCATCTTTTGCCTATTAATATTTAAGTAAGTAGAGCGCAGATACTAAACCTGGATTATAAAAACCACAAAATAACACACTGCAGACGCCAACAAACTCAGACTCAGACTCAGAGTCAGAGCATTCTGGTTTTGCTGAACCTTCCAAGAACGAAAACCTGTAGGCAGCAGGACTTTCCGAAAGTACAAAAAGAGAATAGACTAACCACAAATACCGAGTGTTCAGATCCAAAGGAGCTGGTTCTGGTTCTGGGTCTGGTTCTGGGTTGTGTCCCCTGCGGTTGGACCTCAGCTGACGACTGGCTCCAAATCCTCCTGTCGGTGAAAAGACACGGTGTGAATTCACTGATGGATGTGATGGTGCTAATCACTGTTTAGTGGTGGAGGAAGGAACTGCAGTCTTTGTTCAGGTATGCCTCATGGCTCCTGTCTTGTGTCTGCTACCCTAACCCTAACCCTAACCCTAACCCTAACCCTAACCCTAACCCTAACCCCAGTGTTGACTTTAAAGTAGCCGTAGACTGGAGCGAGCGAAACCTAAGGTGACAAAGAATCAGCCGTTTATATCTGTACCATACCCTGTTACCGTGCCCCCCACCAACTCCACCCCCACCCCTGCCCCAGCGCTGGTGTAGTTTCACACATTCAACCTAAAACTATTGCATGACACGCTGCTTTGCATCTCTGCCGGGCGCTGAGTGACAGTTTAGTAAAGACAGGAAGTGGCATGAAAGAGGTCAAGGTTCACTCCAGTTGAAGCTCAGGTTGATGCTAATGACATGTTGGTCACTGGTTCACATTACTGTTACTGTTAATTTACCACTGTTATATTTATAATATTGTATTTATGTTCTGATATTTCACGGTTTTGTTGCTTTTATGTTGCTCTGTTGTCTGTATATATTGTATCACTGCTGCTTTGACTACAACGATAGAGATACAACTTTATTATATATATGTATATGTACTGTATATATGTATATATATGTATATATTAGGAAATTAGGGCTTCAGTACAGCATCATAAAAACACACATAAAATAAACCAGGAAAATACAATAAAAAAGTAACGAAACCACTGAAACAGTGAATGGATTTTATTTATTATTATAGTTATTATATGATTTCTACACATCACTACAGTAAACCACATTATTCTCTATATTGTTTATATTTATACAATAATAATATTGCATATAATACTCTATAAATGTATGTACATATGTATATATATATATATATATATTATTACTGCATATATAATTTGATGTTAACATGTGCTTTTTCTTTCCTTTATTCAGAGTCAGAGAGTGAGAGTCAGAGTGTCAGAGTCAGAGAGTGAGAGAGACAGAGAGTCAGAGTCAGAATCAGAGAGTCAGAGAGGCAGAGAGGCAGAGAGTCAGAGAGAGAGAGAGAGTGAGAGAGAGAGAGTCAGAGAGGCAGAGAGGGAGAGAGGGAGAGAGTCAGAGAGTCCGAGAGTCAGAGAGTCGGAGAGTCAGAGAGTCGGAGAGTCAGAGAGTCCGAGAGTCAGAGAGTCGGAGAGTCAGAGAGTCGGAGAGTCAGAGAGTCGGAGAGTCAGAGAGTCCGAGAGTCAGAGTCAGAGAGTGAGAGAGACAGAGAGTCAGAGAGGCAGAGAGTCAGAGAGAGAGAGAGAGAGTGAGAGAGTCAGAGTGAGAGAGACAGAGAGACAGAGTGTCAGAGTCGGAGACTCAGAGTCAGAGAGTGAGAGTCAGAGAGACAGAGTGTCAGAGTCGGAGACTCAGAGTCAGAGAGTGAGAGAGAGAGAGTCAGAGTCAGAGTGAGAGAGTCTGAGAGTCAGAGAGTCCGAGAGTCAGAGAGTCCGAGAGTCAGAGTCAGAATCAGAGAGTCAGAGAGTCCGAGAGTCAGAGTCAGAGTGAGAGAGACAGAGAGATAGACAGAGAGAGTGAGTGAGAGAGAGTCAGAGAGTGAGAGTCAGAGAGACAGAGGCAGAGAGTGAGAGACAGAGAGTCAGAGAGTCAACACGGCAGCATCTGCTGCTGAGGACAAACGTTGAGTTCACCAAACACACAGTGAAGAATCAACACAGTCACAGCTGCTGAGCTGTTTGACACAACAACAGTCCACACACACACACACACACACAGAGTACACTACTGCTGCCCCGCAACTAACACACACACACACACTTCGTACAAGTACTGCACCAGTGCGTCTGTTTGCATTCCCCTGCCTGTGACATCAGCGCTCAGGGTCTGAACCATTCATCCCATTGGCTGAGCTCCACAGATTTGCTGATGAGCCTAAAGATCAAAGAAGTGTGCCAAACGGTGACATCATCACGGTCAGGGTGACTGACTCTAAAGCAACTTCCTGTTTCCACACACAGTTTTTCAGTCGACTCAATGAAGTTTAAAGCAACAAATGAAAAAGTTGCTGGTGAAAATACAACTTCCTGCTTCTTACCAACACTGACTTTTACTGTGTGTGACAGTGGGACAGGCTGTGACTACACACACACACACACACACACACACAGTTATGTGTGTACATATTGTATTGTATGTATGTTTTGTCAAGAACGTAACGATACGATACGTATCACGATACAGGGGCAACAATACGATATATTGCGATAGCGTAGTCACAACAATAAATGGAGGTGTTTTTTTGTAACTAGTCAAAGTGTGATCATAGTAAAGACACAATGCTAAGCTAAGCTAACCTTAGCTTCATCTTCATACTGTACCTAAGAGGACGATACCATTACCTTGGCCTAACTGCCCTCGCAGTGGACGACCCCACCCCCTCATGCACCCGTGGAGAGACGGTGGTGGACAGGTTATAGGTCAAGATTTCAATTATACATACAGTATATATGGGGGGGGGGGTGGTGCTACAGTGAACCTGAACATGAGTCATAAATCACCGGGACATTATACGTGAGTCACCTCTTGATGGGTTGAACCGTCGCATAAGTTTGCCCCCCCCGCCCCCAAGTCAGTTCCTGGAAGCAAGGCCATTCAAGTTGCTCTGTTTTTTTATTGGTCTGTGATTAATTCTTAATTAAAAAAAGAAAAACTCAGCAGCTCTAGGAGCCCCCAGCCCTCCCCCCTCCCCATGTCACTGATGAATCATTGGTCTTTCAAACGGTGGTTTATGGACTTGGGCTAACCAGGCTCCTGGTGAGATTCCCACAAGAATTCCAGGCCCGGCAGCAACAGGAGGTCAGTTCACCGCTCCACGTCACCACAGTCAGAATTCTCCATCCTCACGAACTTAGGGACTGAACTCTGGTGTCAGGTGGACGGGAACGAAGGGTTCCGTGTGTTGACTATTTACTTCCGCACTTATCCCAGTTAACAAGTCCCACTTTACTAACTAGCAGTCTCCTTTGAAGAGTTCCTTGTTGTCGTTTCATTGTTAATTTTTTTTAAATGTAAAAGTACTCGAGTAACAAAACAGTTCCACACTCAAGTACTCGAGTAACAAAACAGTTCCACTGAACGTCCGCTGTTTCAGCTTTAAAACTTATGCTAGCAAGAGTGAATTCTTAGAATTCTGGGAAATGTATTTTGTTCAGAGTCGCAACCTGCTCCTTGGCTCCGACTGAGAACGGAGTCGATCCATTCATTCGAACTGGAAAAAGGAAAAAGAAAGGTTTACGAACAGAGCTTTATTAACGTTTGATTGGATTTTTATTTAAATTTGGTGAAACTTTTGTGGCGTCTGATTTCAGAACTGCTGAAAAACAGCAGAATTTTGAAAATATATTATTATAAATTTATAAGACGTTTCCAAACAGGTATTTGTTCAATGTTGTGGTTGTGGTTGATGTAGAATACTGAAGTACAATTACATGAAATCTTTGAACTTTGACATTTGACCCTGCCTGGCATATTGGCTGTGCGTATTTTACTGTTTCCTACTTCTTCTTTAGGCTGTAAAGACTGGTCTTCTCTGGGATTTTTCTGCTCTGAGTCATACATTTACCCAGTATTTGTCACCAGCTGGGAAAGTCAGGGACTTTTGTGACACCTACTCTGCTAAGACTCAAAAGGCCAAAAGTGAAATGAATTAGAGCCCATTTCCTCTTTATGGTTTCAGTTTCCTTTAAAGAGAGACAGAGAGAGAGAGAGAGAGAGAGAGAGAGACTTACTGAAAGACAGGACCAAGTTAAGACAAAGAGACATTTGACTCTCACATTTCACAAGAGTGGCAACTGTGAGGGCAGAGGGGAGCACAGTGTGGGGTAAGTGACGGCTGAACGAAAACCTGGTCACTGGACATTATCATAAACACGTCCGACTTCCTGGAAAGGATTTCAGCTTCTGGTAAAGACTGTGAAATCCCAGTGAAGGGATATTCACGTGTTGTAAACAATGTTACACACCAAGGGTAATTATGTCAGAGTTAGGTGCAATCATCTGCCCCCGGCCGCCGTCCTTGGCCTCTTCCTCTTTCAGTCTGATTTGCCTGGTGATAGATGGTGTGGTTGGTTGGCAGCGGGGGGGGAGGAGTCAGGTTGTTCTGCTGTCAGCCTGATGAATAAGCTTTGACTCAGCGTTTTGGCAACGAGCCGTCTGCTGGCTGCAGAGGGAAGTGGAGTTCATAAGAAACTTTGCAGGCAGCGGGGCATTTATTCATGTCACTAAGACGGCGGCGGCTGTGAAACAACGGCTTCAAGGCACGCTGTGACTTACACCTCACATAACCTGGAGCAAAAAAGGAACAACCGTTCAATGGCAAAACACCGTCGAAATCTACCAAGTGTTCCATCGTCACAGCAACTCCAGTGTATTTCACCAAAGACAGTGTTGGTTTTTCTCTGTAACACTTTTTACTTCCAATAAACTGAATTAGGAAGCTGTTTTTTCGTTGTAGAACTTTAGTTCTTGTTGTTATGGTTTGACCGTTTATTTTTATGGTTCCATCATTTGTAGACCAGCTGACTCCTGGTCCTCACTGTTTTCAGGGACACGGTCAGAACCACCGAGTTAGAAATGGAGTATGTGGTCGATGGTTTTCCTAGTTTTTGGTCCTTAGTATCCAGTATCATTTTTATTTCTTCTGGTCCTGAGCGTTAAACTCCACTCGGTGTGCACCAGATATGTTTGTAAAATGACGCTTTAGTCGGTACTTCTTCAACAAAAGTGCTTAATAAAACTGTCAAGGACACGGAGCGAGTATACTGTGTGGCTTTTTATTACTGCTTCCTACGAATGTTTTATGAGCTGCGTTGCTTTTATGGCCAATGTAGTGATACGGAGGAAGGCAACGTGCCACCGTGTCCTCATCTGGACGCACATCAAAGGTGTTCACCCCGCCGTTTCCTGC